TGCCTTTCTCTGTGCCAGTTCTGCTGTAAACTGCTGCCTGTGCTCCCCAGGCTACCAGGCCCAGATATCCAGGGCTAGACATGAATTTTTTAACCTTTTCTTTTTAAGGGTAGTGGCAACTTGTGCTGCTACTGTAGAATTGCAATCAAGTCTTCATATTCATGTGAAACAAATATCGCTTGGCATTTTTTGGTTTTAAGTACTTGAGGGTGTAATTGATCCTTTAATATCCATGTGAATTCACTGTGGTTTGCCCATATATTTGATCTCCTACTGTAGCTGGGTTTTTTTTTCTTATTTCTTTCCCATATTTCTCGGTCGCCAGTCAGTTATCTTTTTGCCTTATATTTAAAGCCAACAATTTATTTTTGCCTCATATTTAAAGTGCGCAATTTCTGGGGCAGGGACTGTATTTTTGGTCTCTGTTTATATAGCACCTAGCACTGAAGTCCTGGTTTATAGGTGGCTTTCTAAGTGCTGAAGCAATACAAAGGGAAATCTTCATAAGTATAATAAACTGTAATTTCTTTAGCCCTAGAGCTTAGCATGATGCCTAGTTATAATAAAATTAATTTGTCCAAAACACTTTCAATATTCACTTTCATTGCCTGTGATACAGCAAAGAAACTAAGAGAGCCCAAAACACTTTGCAACTATACCATTGTTTATGGCACCAGAGAGACTGTATGAAAATCTAGATAGATTAAAAACATGTCTAAAATTCACAGCATTTTCATAATGTTATATCATAGGTTTATAATCTTCCCTAAGGAAACTAAATTAATTTTCAGAGTTTTTTTTTTAGCTGAGTGAGATGGGGATAATAAATAATCCTTTCTAGCACCTCTGGAGATAATTGGCTGGAAAACTATAGGGCGATAATTGTTAACCAACTTGAGGTCACCTCAGCTGAACATTAGCACCATTGAAGCATGCTTCTGAGTAACAAGAACATGCCCTTCAGATAAAGATTAATTAAATGTAAAAGGTAAAAGAGAAGAAGCTAAATTCACAACACAGTGTACCTTTCAGAGGATTGGAAGTGCCAGTGTTTTAACGGGAGAGATGTGCTTCTGATTTATCAGCTTGTCCAAGTCTTCCATCTCTTGCATGCATATTCCACAGCCAACAGTTTTGTTTGATAGAAGAAGTTTTAAGAAAAGGAAAGAGTTGCTCGACTTAAGAGAGAAAAGGAAATAGTTGGTTTCTTGTAAAGAAAATACCTCACCAGCCTACACTTTCAGTTCTACCAGGCTGCTGTTCCAGCTGGAGAAGACTCCCTCTTTCTCCTTAGCCTGGCCTGGAGGATCCTAGCATCAGCTGCTGCAGCTCCTGTTGAACTCAACAGGAATTTTGCCACTGGCTGCAATGAGAATTGGATTGTGCTTTCCATCACTGTGTTCCTCAATGGAAGATAATTACTGCATGATTAGGGGCCTGACAAACAAGATATGGTTGTTTCTTATAATGTGCTTAAAGGGAGTTGCAAGCCAAATTTTGCCTTACGAATTTCTTACAGGGAAGACACACCCTGTGGCTGCTTCTTCTTTCGCATCCTGCTTAGTCTTCCCAGAGGCTGGCTGAGGTCATCCAGAGACACTTTCAGCTGCTTTGCATGCTCTGTGCAAAGGGATCATGCTCTAAGGAAACCACCGGTGGTTCTTGCCTCAGGAACAATGGAAATAGTCTTTCGTTTTAAGTTCACAATATATTCAACAATTTAAAAACATGGCACTCCCACTCATCCTGAGAGGACATGATTTGTGAGGCTCTCTTCTCTGTTGTTTTCTGACTTTAAAAGGATTCTAACTCACTAAGCTCAGCCAAGGTAGTGAAAAGAACTGATCTGGTTAGAAATGATGTCAGGCAAGTTTCTAAAAATAAGGATATATAGTTTATGATTACATTCAGTAATGGGGGATTAGCATGTGCCCACATTCATGAAGGAAGAGGATTCTCTTGTCCAGATACCTGCATTGACCTTTCCCAGTCTTCCTGCCCTGGTGCCCCCTGCTCACTGAGTGGTGGCCCTCTTTACACTAATTTCCTTTAAACCATTGCAGGGTGGAAACCAGGTTTATTTAGGCTCCTACTCTATGCTCAAACTTTAGCCTCTTAGTGAAGCAGGAAGTGCCTAAGACTGCACTGCCTCTAGGCTGTAGAGCAGATGTGCTTTGTGGAATCCCCCACAACCCTGGTCTTCCAGTTATCCAGATCTAGGATTTGGCTAGAGTACATTGCAATGGTCTTTTGGGTTGTGCACCTCTCCTGTTTCTCCATGAATACAGGTGCCTGGGAAGGGAGCAAGGGCTGGTTCACCCAGGAGAAGTCAGCATGCAGCCAGAAAGCCCCACACAGCACCTGTGGAAATGCTCCTGGATCATGCTGCAGAGGCAGTTTGCCTCTGTCTTGATAGTAAAGCAGGTGCCTTTGAAGGTCTGTGAAGGGAGACCCTGCCTGTCTCGTGTAGGTGCCTAAGCTTCAGATGTCTGTAGTGGGCAGACCGGCTCCAGTCCCTAGTCTTGGTTACTCCAAAGGCCAACAGAGTGTGGGAATGAAGGCAAAGAGAAATGAATTACAGCCTTTGTTCTCTGTTTTGGGAGAGTCCTTCTTTAACTGGGAGGCCTTCCCAAGCCCTACCCACTCCAAAGGGCCTATCAGAAACACAGCTAAAAGAGATTCCTCAACATTTAATGCGCAGAGGTTTGTGGGCCATACAGCCTTCCTCCATAGGTTGTAGAAGCTCTGTTATCCGGGGTGTGTTGTTTAAAATTGGCATACTAGTCCTCAGAATAGGCAATTCAGTGGCCAGCTGCATGTGGAAGTCTCATCTCCTTAACATAATGATCTCTCGGAAGCTCCCTCTGGCTATTTTTCCCTGCAAGTAAAAGTGATGTGGGTCTCGATTTCACACCCTCCAGATATGTATTCATCAAGGTATTAGAAGACAGAAGGGTGGTTTCTAAGAGCCATCCTACCTTCTAAAAAACCCAAGCTTCTTCAACCCCTCAGAAGCATATAAATCACTGCATCGCAGAGAAAGAGAGAGGTCCTTTTTATTTTTTAAACTTACAACCACTTTTTGTGTTGTATTAAAGCTTCTCTTATTTTCAAAAACTTTCTATTTGAATTATGAAGCAGATCACAGACCAGCACAAAACCATTCCCAAAAGGAAAAAGCAACATAGTGGAACACAAATTAATATATACATTTAAGCACAAAGCACCAGGAGTGGTCTGGAATACAGCATGTACGTCACCTTTAAAAAATATCAAGTATGAGTCCTAATGCCCACAGTTTAAGCATTGCAATGCATCCTAATATCTTCCAGATGTGGATTTGTTTAGGGCTAAAGTTAGATGGGTTACAACCTGCACTTAAAAAGCATTTCTGTGCTGTAGATGGAAGAGAATGAAGATTTGCTGAAGTAAAGCAAAAGGAAGGACCTGAACCTCCCCTTGCCAAACACTCCACTAAAGAATATGCTTATATTACTGCTAGCCAAGAGAAGAGAGGAGTGGTTACCATTATGGCTCATTTCTTTGTTTCTTACTGAGGCTGGTAGAACTTCTCACAGCAAGGATGTAGCACAGAAGGTAGCCCATTTCAATCCCTCATTTCTGCATGAAGCCCACTCCTGTTTAAAAGCACATGCATCTTCAAGGCACTGAAGCATAAATCCCTACCTAGCAGCCTATGGCCAGCTAAATAAAGTGCAGGTTTTCACAGAGCTCTAGCTTGTGTGCATCTAGCAGATAATCACTAATGAAACCATGAAATCTTCCATCAAGGCTAAATAACCTGAATCTGTGCAGTTTCCCTGTGTGGAAATCAGTATTCCTTGTAGGGCAGGAACAGGCAGAGGAGTAATACAGTACCTTAACAACCTTCTTGAAAGCTGCATTTGTCCTGAAGTAGTTCTTGCCCTTTCAGGCAGGGATTTCCAGAAGATGTAGCTGCCCTTCCTTTGGCAAGCCTATAAGCCCTCTACTAAGATAAGCCCCTTTAGAATCAGCAAGGGGTAATTTCTTGCAAAACTATAGGGAGTCTTGCTATCTGAGTGGGTGATTGTGCCTCACTACTGAGCACTCTCAAAAGTGAAATCATTGCCTCTTTTGTACAGTGCTGTAGGCGGTACTGATCATATCTGAATGCTGCCTAGCTTCCCATGCTGCCTAAGCTCCCAAAGGCTTGTCCCTTGTGCTGGGCTCGCTGTAAAATCAGAGTTCACTTCTTTGAGAGTAGGCTCTTGCTCTGTACTGGCAGAGGGTGGGCTAGATGTCAAGGAAGGACTTCCTCAGGGCTCTGCATGAATGCACGGAGAGTTCCTCCTACTGTCCGTCAAGAAGGAAGTTACAGCTCTAAGGACCATTGCCTTCCTTGGGGTAGAGGTTGAGGAAAATCAGGCACCACACTTTCTCAGTGCTGAACATAACGGCATTTTTAAAAGCTAAGTGGGTCATAAATCATTAGAGATGAAAATAGAGAAGAAAACTCACGTCCAGCAGCTGCACTAAATTTCGGCGGGTATAGAAGAGTGTAGAGTAACCTTTCTGAATAATTACTGGCAGCTCTAGGAAGGTAGTCTGTATTCAGCGTACTCAGTACAGCACCCCAATAGTGTTTCTGAACAGAAAAAATGGCTACATTGCTTTTAGTTCTGACGCATGTTCAATGAAAATAAACCCCTCCTTAATAAAGATTAAAATGCTAATTGATTTTAAAGGTGGTACTGCACCTTCCTAACACAGCATATTCCTGTAATGGAAATGCATTTCAAGAAATATATTTGTCACCATGAAAGAGCTGATGACATTTCAAGCCGGTCGACAGTAGGAGACATTTGGCTTTCTACTCCATGCATTATCAAAGGAGCAACTTGCACATCTAAAATAACCTTTGGAATTTTTCAGCAGTCTTCCAGCAGAAGAGGAAATTTCAGTCTCATATAGGGGGTGGATCATCAGCCACTCTGAATAGGTACATTGGCTTCTGGAGAACTGTATCCACTTACATCAACTGAAGATGGCCATCTGTGAGCAAACAAAAATCTGCTACCCCTTGTATCTGAATGAAGAATTTCGGATATCAGTGACTAAATAAGCTGGCATTGGTGGTAGAACGTGTGGCAGAGGAGATTAGTCAAAGGCTGATGAAACAGAAAGTGCTGCACCTTGATTTTTTGGGTACCTTTTGGGATTATAACTCTTGGCATTATTCCAGCTAACATGGATCAAATTACCCGCTGCTTCTGACACTACAAAATGAAAAATTAAAGTTGAGAAAGAACAGAATGGCTTGGAACCAGAATAGCAAATTGTAGTAAGATACCAGCTCTGCTTCTTTCTGGAGCTGATGAGACCTTAGCAGCCACTTAACTGCCAGTGTCTCTTGCAAGAGCGACAGCATAAAGAATAACGGCAATGGAGAGACAAGGGAGAGTCTGCAAAGCGTGGAAGAAGGAAAGAGAGACCAAAGGGACAACCAGTCTGCAGTCTGCCATAATCAATTCACAAGGTATGTTTAAGTTTACTTGGAAAATGAATGACAGGCAGGGATACTGTTTTCCTGGGTAGTGAAAGACTTAATCTTGTAACCTTTGTGATAACTGATCATACAATTGCATATCACATGTAATAACTGTATCCCCTTGCAAGACAAAGCTGTTCATGGTGAAATGAGGGATGAATGATGTGCAGAGAACCAACAAATTCTTAAAAAGTGAGGACGGCTGGAAGCAGCAGACGACGGAATAAAGCAAAGTTATCTTCAGAATGTAATTGGAAATGGAGGAAAGCTAAGACATCCTCTGCACCTCCCCTGGTAAAACTGAGATCAACAAGAAAATAGCTGAAAATCACCAGCCTGTGGAAAGATGCAGATAATAGAATAAGTTCAAGGAGAAGCATCTACTGATATACAGCAGTCCTAGCAGGAACGTCTGTGCAAAACTGTGCGGCAGCAGGATGACTCCATTTATTACAATTTAATTTATTGGCTGCTGACAATGTGTTCTGTTTAGGACAAATACTGTGGAGTTTCCATCCCCACAAGTATTCAGTTTAGCTAGAAAATAAAATTAATTAAGATCTTCCAGGGTGTCTTCCATGTATTTTAATACAGAGGTGTTGTGATATCTCACTCTTGCATTTACTGGTTTTATTGGCTCTTGTATGCAAGCGGGAAGTTGCCCAATTAACAAATTTGACCTCCTGTTTTGCCTGTTTTTTTTGCTATACCTTTTTCCTCTTCCTTTCCCAGAAAGAAGTCCTTAGACACAGACCAGAGGCTGGTGAGGACCTGCTCCATCCAGGTTCCACATTGAACCCTTGCTGTTTCTCATATGTGGGCCACTGCTGGGGCAGTGTGTGCAGTAGAGAGGGGAGAAATGAAGGGGGCTATGAGCCCATCAGACTCATACTGTAAGGACACTCATCCTGTTCTGCTCATTGTAGTGCAATACTGCACCCAGAAAATTCACAGCTATGGTTTCATACAAAATGTGTGCCTCCCGGTGTGTACATGTTACTGCAAAACACTCTGGAGAAACTACACTAGCACAGAATGGGGAAGAAGACTAGTTATCCTTCAGAAACCATCTGTATTTATAAATTTTTAATGACTGTCATCTGGGGAGGGATAGTTTCAGATCTGTATCACCTCGAGGGAACTGAAGGGCAACGCAGAAAATACTTTTCGTTCATTTAAAGGAAAGAAAAAGGCATTCATCAGTTTATCTTGCGAACCTCGGCCGTTGTTAAAGTTCCTCTTCCCAAAATCTCTGTCTAACATGTGATGCTGGGCACCTACTGCTGCAATCACTGCAATTGAGAATGGAGCACATTAATTGCATATATTGCTTTTAAGCCCGTACAATGGGGTCCCATGACAGGAAGATGTGTATGTCTAGAGGTGGAACTCTTTTCTACGCATTACCAGGTGGCAGAATTTCTGATGGATATCACTAGAGAGTCATTCAAATGGCAGTAATTCAGGTTGTGGCAAAGAACCTGAGACATACTAATAAAAGCCCCCTTTCTATTTTCTTTTTCTATTAAGTCACATAATGGATGTCATATTCAGTGCTTCTTATGGTGAATAGGCTACTTATTAAGCACAGTCTAGGACTTTATTTTATTTTAAAAATGCCATCCTTTCCAATTATGCTAACTTTTTAGAATTTTCCCCCTTAAAACTAGGATATTTTTAGCATGGACTACAAGTTACAAACAACAGAAGTTGCTATAGAAACAGAAAAGGCACTTTGTAGAATGAAAATGCAGGAAGAAATGATGTTCACTATTTATCTGTTGCAGGCAGTAAGATAGAATCAATATATATATGTGTGTGTGTGTATGTGTGTATATATATTCATACTTACATATGGATATATATGACTTTCCTTACTGTATCTATGAATTCTTCAGTACTCATCTTTGTATCCTAACATTTAGCTGATATTTGGCCTTTCTACGATTGAAGGCTACTATCCCTGACTACATGCAATTTACCTTGTAGCTAGGTGCCCTGCAGGCATCTCCATATTTACTCAGCCAAGCCAGTGCAAATAGATCACACAATATACAGCTAGAGGCAGCTGCCTTTGTGGGGTGCGGTGGGGGAAAAAGCTGTTCAGCAGTCTGGCTAATCTCCTGTGATGTTACCCAGATCACATACCATGCTGGACACTGTTAATAGAGAAGACTCAGCTGGCTCTTTTGCCCTCATCCTGAATCAGCCCCTATGACTATTCTGACTTTTCTTTTACAGCCCTTTTCTTGTTGTCTCAGTTATAAAAATACACTTCATGCTCTAAGAACCTTAAACTAAGTAAAGGTAATTTCAAATCGCAGGGTTCATTATTTTTGAACTCCTACTCTAAATGCCGTGCAAACTCTGAGCATTATCTAAAAAGGGGCTAATAAGGATGAAGTATTATATAATTTTAGGTATTTAACTTAAAGCCTAATGTAATAGCATGGACTACTGAACTAGCTTCATAGGAAAGAATACTGTAGAGATTGTACTTCAGGTACTCGTTAGATTGCAACTGAAAGTGTTAGGTGATTCTTGGGAAAGGTGTCTGCAGGATTTGAATACATTTCGCATTTCTTCGCCTTCACCTCTTATTTAATTTCATTGCTCTTCATATTGATTGCATAGGTCAGCTTTACAATCATTCTGTTTTAAGAACAGGTCAGATAAACATCTTAGAAATGATGTAGAAGCAGTTGATCCTGCCCTGGGAGAGGAGAGGCTGGAGGTAACATAATTAACTAGATCATCCTTCCAAAGCTATTTTTTGTATTTTCTGTTATTGTGAGAGTATTTGAATACTATCCTAAAGAATAAGATTTTTCCTCTGCTTCAGAATTCATATATAACGCTGGCAAACCATTTAAGGCCAGATTCCTGTGCATTTGAGTGCCCAAAATGGAGATGATTGCTTACAGTGATTGCCAAGATGATCTTGAAAAATCTCTTTTTTCTGCGTCTTAGGTGTCTAAATGCCGTTGTAAGGCTATTTTTTTCTCAGGTCATCTTCATTTCTGAGGCCCTTGTTTTCCAGTTGTTTGCCTAGCCCAGGTCTCTGGTCCCTTGTAGGAGAGCTGAGGACTCATAGCTTCAACACAAGTTAGCAGAGCTATCCTGGGTTATCTGGACCTGTCTGCAAGGCCAGTCACTCTGAAAAACTGTGTCCTAATGGTTAATGCTGTACTCAGGTGCTGTGCACACCAGCCATGCCCTGACTCTCTGCCAGAGCAAGACTTGGATATTTCTCCTTAGGCATAAGGAGGTCCTTTGAACAGCAATCTGGATAGATGGAAAAGGAGGGAGCTCCATGTGATCTCCAGAGGCTCTCCTCCCCACGGCTGGATGAAACACTGTGGCAAGGTTCACTGTGGTTCATACCCACCCCACCATTTAGACATAACCTGTTGGACAACCAGAGGCAGGGTTTCTATTTTCATCCCTTCTGCCTCAGTTCTTGATTTGTAAAATGAGGACATTATGTGTATGTTTCTGGAGCACAGCAATGTAATGGAGAGTACAATAGAAATTCTCATGAAAAAATTAGGATTCTGCCTTCCAAGCAGGACTGGAAAAATGTTCATGTTGTACAGTCTAGGACCTTGCACTGAATGGCAAAGAAAAAGTGAAATGCTGAAGAGCTGCTTGTTAAACAATCACCATCCACCTCAGATAGGTACCGAATAATGTGGGGTCCCAGAAAAAATATGGTAAATGTCCCTGTAATTAAAGACTGTGTCCTAATGCAAACTCTCCTAGAGACAGGTGAAACACTTACAAGCAACCTGAAGTCTGGCATTTCCTACTTTTAGAGCTCGACTTTGCTCCACTGGCCAGAGTGCAGACAAAAGGCTAATCTGCACTTGCCTATTCATACATGCTCATGGGCTCCAAAGTGGTTTAGGTGCTTTTGAGACACTGTTCAATCTTAATTATTGCCTATAGAAGCAAGTCTGATTTCAGAATTTGGATGAGTATCAGTACATGTACGTTATCCTACCTTTGGAAGTGATTTACATGTGCATTGCTTGGCACACATTCTTGAGTAAGGATATTTTCGATTCTGGTAATATTCAGGCAATACTCAGCTTCTTAATATGCATGCCACTCTCTCTGACTCAAAATCCTCAATTCTTGAATACATCCTCGTTAAAGAGAACAGATGGTTTCGGTTTCAGTAGATGAACTCTCAAGGGTAACTTCAAATCTGGGCGATACCATTGACTATTTGGTTGTAACTTCGGCCTCAGTGTCCTTGCTATGCATGTTCAGGTCTGTCTGGTTCTCTTATTCTTTCCTGCCTTTCTTTAATGCTGGGCACACTTTGCAACAAGAATAAAAGACCATCAACATTATCCAGAACAGTCCTTCATCTCTAATACCCACTTACAGTAGGTAACCAGCTAATTCCAATTCAGAATTAAGAGTCAGGGCATGAGAGGAAAGCATAGTTAGGGAACTAAAGCCAAATGGGATGAGCTCAGAATTTCTCAACAGTATCAAGCATTTGGAGATGCCTGTTCTATTTACATCCTGCCCATGTGGTGCTCTCTCCCCTGTTGCATTACGGCTTTCAATCAGCAGCAGCGCTAAGTGAAACTGAAGAGTGGTCATACCTTCAGAGGCCTGCTAATTAAAATGAGAATATTTTCCATAAAAAGGCCTGGAAAAAAAAGAAAGGAGCAGGAGGTTTAAAAGATGCTTTCCATTTCTAAAGGAACTGATTTTCAGAAGCCCATAATACCTAAAAGTGAGATCACTGTGGACTTTTAGGACTCCGTGGCCATTTATTGGCAATCCTACAGAAACATTGCCCTGTATTTTAGGACAAGGGCTTTAGGACCTTTCCTCTGGCCTATCCACCAAGACAGTGACAGAAGAGCCAAGAGCATTATCATCTTACTCTGCCTGAAAATACCTCTGACTTTTTTATTTTTTTTTTTAAATAATATCCCAGCTGGATTGTTATTTCCCATCAAAATTTT